CATTTGTGAATACGAGGAGTGTGGAAGAAAAAACACTTTATTTTAAAAAAATAAATTCTTGTGACCTTTTGTTTGGTCTACAGCTGACTGCTGACACTGGCATGGAAAGAGCTCCCAGCAGCAGAGGACCCTGAGATGCTGGAGGTCTTGGTCCACGTGGGTCCATTTGAAATATCGGTGTAATTTAACTCATGTTCCAGTGTCATGTGGTACAGGGTTATAAGTGCTTCATACTGGTAGAGCTTTGTGGTGACACCCTGATTCTCCAGAGTTATCAAGCAAGTTGTGTCCGTCACTGACCATTTTTAAATCAAGATGGAATGTTTTTCTAAAAGATACGCTCTAGGACTTATTTTGGGGAAGTTCTATGGCTTGTGATATACAGGAGGTTAGACTAGATGATCACAATGGTCCCTTCTGGCCTTGGAATCTATTAATCTAGGAATATATGATTGCAGCCCTGTCTGGAGCACATAGCAATTTTCCCTCCTCCTACTTTTACATGAAATCTCCATTTCCCTAACACATACTAATTCTAGATACCCTCCCATTCCCTACCTTTGTCACACAGAACTGACTCCTGGTCTCTCCTTCCCTGAACCATGCGCCAGGAGTTTGGGGTAGAGGGAAAGGTTGAATATTGATATTTAGTGATCGCAGCTGAAGCCTCCCTGATAACTGCTTTTGTAGGTGGCTCCAGGTTTGCTATCAAAGGATCCACTGCACATCTGTAGAGAGAAATATAGTACACAGGGGCTGGAAAGGGAAGGTTCCTGTGTCTTTTTAAGATATACAGAGGTTTTGCCCTGATCCAATGATATTGCATCACTTTGCCCATGTCTGTGCACATTGTTCTGTTCCAGGATAGTGGGTGCATCAGGCAGCATGACCAAAATTGGCCCAGAAGCAGTAGGAAATAAGTAACTAAACAGAGAAATCCTTCAAGTGTTTTTAATTTTCCTGTTATTTTCACGAGGAAAACAGTTGTCAGACTTTACTGAAATCCATTTATCAGTTTTAATGAAAAAATGCATTTAAACACACCTCTTTAACAGCTTTGAATTTGAGCCAGGTATCTGAGCCTTAACACATTTTATGAAGCTTGAACTAAAATTATATGGAGTTCTTGGCATTAATGCAGCAGTCAGCAATTTTTGATACATAGAATTTGTTACAAAATGTTGAGACGCACACACACCCCCTCGTCCCTGACCCATCCACAAGGACCTTAAGTCTTCTAGTTTGGGTGGAAGAGGGAAAGGTGAGGAATGCTCCAGTTTCTTGGTTACAGGCTAGGAAGGAAGGAATATATATTGTTTCTGTTTTTAAATATTTAGGAGGCACCAGATATTACAGTGGGGGGGGAGGGGAGGGGAGGAGTGTCTATGATTACCTAGATAAGCAGGAAGCAGTGCAGAAAGCATGCGATAAATGGCAGCTTGAGAATCTATATGTAGGTGAGAATGAGAATCTGTATTCAGAAGGAAGTGGAGACTATGAGTTCAATTCTGACCTTCGGAAGATCTCAAAGTATTGGATTATGGGTGACTGAGATCTAACTTGTATTTTCAGTAAGAATCTCACTTGAATCCCTTTTTTACTTTGTACCCTGGGCCCTTTGTCAACTTCAGCCTTTATCAAGTGTTAGAATTAGGAGGATTTGTTTGTGTGGGGCCAGCTATGGCTGTTATTGCTGGGACTGTGGTCTTCAGCGTTTTAGTGGGAAGTTATATAAAGCACAGATTATACACTTGGTCCTGCTATCCAATCCTCCTCTCTTATAGTGAAGTCCTTTCCAGCCTCTTCCTGTGAGCAACTTCATAGTAAGTGGAGGTTGGCTTTTGTGCACTGCAATACAATGAAACAATGTGGTACTCTCTTCTCCTTTGCCAAAAGTAGAGTTTCATTATATCAGAGTTCTCTGCCTACATATGCATCTATCCATGCTGTGGCATCCAAGCATAAATTATTCCAGACTTGTTTTTCAGTAGTAGTAATCAGAAAAATGATCCATTTATTATGTCGCTGTATTTGTTGATGAAGTAATAATATATTTAACCATCTGCACATTTAAAGTTTACATAGTTTTTTAGTCATAAAGTAACCTCAGGAAGATTAGGGACTCATTTCTTTATTTGTGATTTTTTTTTCCCTTTAGATCTTTACAAATGTTGAGAAAGGAGCACCTCTTCATATACTCTTGATCAGAGGTTTTCAAACCGGGGGGTGTGCCCCCTGGGGTGGGTGGGCAAGTGTTGATGCCAGGCAGCTTGGGGAGGGAGCTCCCGCTACCCCCTGACTCACCTCAGTGGGTCTCCCAGCCTGTGGGTCAGTGTCAGCATCTGCAGTGGCTGTGCTGATTTCTGCTCCCAGCAGCCTCCGTGCCCAGCGCAGGCTCCACCCCCAGAGACCATGGTAGTGAGGAGGGGCAGGTATTGTGTCTATTTTTGTCTGGATTGGGGGAGGAGAGTGCAACTAAAAATTGTAACTCAAAGTGGGGGCTCAGCTGAAAAAGTTTGAAAACTGCTGCTCTTGATACCCTGAACATACATGGGAAAGAGCCACAGTCCAATTCAGTCTAACCCCTACCAGCAAGCCAGGCAGCTCAGAAGTGTAAATCTCTCTCCCTTGTCCCATTAACAGTTTCCCACCCTTACAATCCCCTTGTTTTTCTGTATTTTGCCTATTAAAATACTGGTATGTTAAAGGCTCTAATTCGCACGTTTAGTTCTAGGGTAAAACTCGTTAATAAGTTGAGTTCTACAGGAGTTGACATTAATATCTGCTTTGTCCTAACATGGATCATGTGACTATAATGGTTGTGATTGATTGGTGTGGATGTAGGTGTCTATTTGAGTATATTTGACACACTACAGAACTCTTAGAAAAATGGTCCTTGCCCAGTGTGCTTACAGTCTTCATACACAATAAACTGCATCATGCACTGGGAGAACAGAGGGTAGACTTAGCGCAAAGCAATGCAGTGTTCTGCATTTTTGTTAATCAGGGTTAATCGTGACTTTGTGATATTTACCAACACAGCACTTGATTTCTAAAAGAAAATAGACCACACTAACTACTGCTGCTTGAGTTGGGAACTTGTAATTTAGCATTTACAGATCGTGTTGCCAGCTTAAAAGAATCATTTATTCCCATCTCCTGCACTGTTTGATGCACCGTTAGTACTGGGAAGCCAAATTTTGAGAAGATGGACTTTTACCCGTTATTAAATTTAGAATTGTTTGCACAACGCTTTCTGCAAAAAGACGTATTCCATGAAAATAGCCTAAAATAAGTAAATCCATATGTCCATAAATTGAGATGTGAAATGCTACACCTCTCCCAGACTCTGTTCAGTGATATTTCATAGTGCTAATAGATTGCTGATTCAACACAGAGCATTTCTTTGATACTATCAGTTGGAGCTGGGCTAGGAGTGTAAGCATTAACAAACCTTCAAAACTTTGACAGTCCGATTAATATTGCCCAGATAAGCAAGGTGCCTCTCTCTCTCTCAGCACTATCTGTGGCTGGCAGACATATATCTCACAATACGGGACAGGTTATGATCCCTTTCATTTCCAATGGTAAAAGTTGTCATTACTGTGCTTGCTCCTCTGCATATATAATGTCCTAGGTGGCAGGTGTTTGGATTTCATCTTTTTCATTAGCATTTGTCATTTGAAAACCCTAATTCTGAACTGTGGCTACCATCCGAATAGCTTAGAGGCCTGGGCAGGACTCTCTTGGGGCAAGGCGTTACCATGGAGCAATGTAAAGTGCTCACTGCAAGACCCCAGGAATAAGAATCCAATTCTGGTAACTAGCAGGCCTCTACCATGGTGCAGATTTGTTTCTCTCGTTTTAGTGCATCATTGAGCCACAACTGGAGCGGGGGGTGTGGTTGTGCATGCTGTTAGCATATAAAATTTCATTAGAATAGCATTAAAGTCCAGTTTGGGCAGGGGATTAGGCAGGATATCTTTCCACTAAACAAAGAGGAAATGAAAGCGTAGGGAAAATGGGTATAAACAGTCTCTTCTCTTCTGCTTTCATATATTTAGGGCGGTTACAATATTTTTAACTCTTTCTCCCCATTTACACTTCTCATGACCCAGAGCCCCGCTGTTGGCACTCACCAAAATGATGCTTCAGAGAGAGATCACCACTTCTTTCTGATGTACCAGTCGCCCCGTGTGTTGGTACCTCCCTTTTACTATTCCCCCGCCCTGTTAGCTGCATGTGGCCCTGGATTGTGAATTAGGAGATTAGAGTTCTATTCCTGCTCTGCCACTGACCTGCTGGGTGATCTTGGACAAATCATTTTCTCTCTCTTTTCTTTCTGTAAATAGGGGAGAATGTTACTTTCCCACTTTTCTACACTGCTTTGAGATCCACAGATGAAAAGCACCACAGCAGGGTGGTGGTGTTCTTGCAGGGGCAACTGTGGTTTTTTAACTGTGCTTTTATTACAGAAATATGAACTGGGAGTTGCTCTAAGGCTCTTCATTCAGTTTTTTTAATGCAGAAGAGCAAGTTAAATGGGGCATAGTGGGGGTAGGGAGGTAAGGGGAGCCAGATTGAAGGTTTTGGCTGCCTTTGCAGGTAAAGTATGTAATATTTTAAAAGAGGAAAATATTAATCTCCTTTATTTTATTTTCTATAGCAGGGGTAGGGATTTCTCTCCCATCTATTCCCTTGGGAATTGGTATGTAGCCATGATACGCATTGTATAGTGGCCTTGCTGCCCACTCAGCACAATGCTTTTAATAATCTTTGTCTAAAGCTGTACTCTGATAGACTGTAATGATGCTTCCGTTTTCATGGGGTTGTTACAGTAGGAAAATCTGCTCCTTGCTTTGAGGTTTTAGTACAATAATGTCTCGTCTGTCTTGGGTTGTTGCACTATAGAAGGTACTTATCCTACAGTGCACTTCAGAAATAAAAAGATTTAGCATTGTTCTGCATGAATAATACACATATTGGTTTCTTCTCTACAGATAAACAGAGGTCATATGACAACAGAAGCTAAGAGGGCTGCCAAGATGGAAAAGAAGATGAAGATTTTGCTTGGTGGTTACCAGTCTCGGGCAATGGGACTCATGAAACAGTTAAATGATTTGTGGGACCAGATTGAACAGGCTTACCTGGAGTTACGTACTTTTGAGGAGTTAAAGAAACATGAAGACGCTGCTATTCCCAGGAGACTGGAGGTAGGATTCCTAAACACCACTTCAGTGGATCGTGTAGGAGCACAGAAACAGAGAAGTGTTTGTTTAACAGTGTTAAATTTGCATGGGCTGTTGCTGCTTGTTGGCTACATTAATTTTTTAATAATGCATTTTTTTAAATTAATGTCAAGTTCTTTTCTTCTGTGTAACTATCCAGGTTCTTACACTGTTTCCCATCACTGTAGTATCTGAGATCCTGAGCCATGTTAAAGCTGAGGCTGATCTTTTTATTGTTGCTTCTTCCTACCCTTGTTTATTTTATTGTGTTTTGTTTTTTTAATCTCATACAACACAAACTGTTTGATTTAGCAGAAGTTATGTTACCTAGTTATTTTTAGTTGACTCTTCTAATATATTGAGATCCATTGCTGAAGTCAATGGGATCTATGACCATTTACACCAGCTGTAGATAGGCCTGTTATCTCTTTATATGTTAGTCTTAACAAAGAGTAATAAGGCTATGGTCATGTTTAAATAAGAAAAAGTGGTAGAGGAACCATATCAGGATGAGCATATTACTGTGTAGTATAACATCCTAGGAAATTAGGTTCCTGCTTTCCTCACCTATTTCTACACAAGGAAAAAGGTCCAGTTTGGATAAGGTTGTTTTCACATGAAAAGGCATGCTTACTACAAGCAGCATAACTTTAGCAGTTTGAAAAGAGAGGATATTTTTATAAGAGGTTGAAGACACTTGACCTTCACATTTGTGTGTAATTTAAAAGCACCAAGGTCATGTAGCTATCTGGAATCTAGATACTCATTTACAGAGGCAAATTAATGTATGATAACTCTGTTTTGGGATTTTTTTCAATGTTGACATCCAGCATCACTGGTCTGTTTCAAAAACTAAACTATTGAATGACTTAAATTGATAGTGTATCTAATGCATTGTTTTCAAATTAATATCTGATTTCTTATGCATATAACTGGAAAAATGGGAAATAGGGATAAGAAGATATGGGCTTCATATAGGATCTGAGCTGGTCAAGCTGACTACAGAACAGCAGCTGTATTCTCTTCTCCCTCTTGTATTTAAAAAAAAAATTACAGTTAGGTTTAATTCCAAGTGCTTATGGTAGGAGAAGATATATGAAGTGGGAAGAAGCCACTTTCATTTTCAGGTACCAAGCTGTGTGTGCAGTGTTGGCAATTAGAAAGACCTTGTTTTTGTTTTACAACAAAGCAAACTATCTGGAAGTCATTCGGGGGAAGGAAATGTGGAACATCACCCATACATCACCCTTCTGTGCAGTTACTTTTCTACAGCGTGCTTTAAAAACCTGGTGCTGATTGTTCACTAATTGTCCCTGTTTTGTTAAGTATCATCAGCAGTCTCACTTAAGGCAATTTACGAGAACTGTATTTACATGCCTGTGTAGGGAATTTCATGTAAGAAACTGCCAACTCCCTGCACTTTTTCCCATATTATTTTATCCAAAATCTTTGGAGTACACTGCCTTGCCGTCCTAAATGCATCACCGTTTTATTGAACAGTGTATGCCCTGTGGTTCAAAAGTATCATTATTTTTTAGTATATTATTAGTATATTTAAGTATATTATTTTTCTGCTGCTCTTAAATGGCCAGATTTTGATTTCTGAGAGAGATATTGTTACATATATTAGTAGGTCAGGTGACTGGTGCTCTATGTGCCCCTCCTTGAATGAATCTGCTCTGAACCCAAAGCTGGTCATAGTCATTCAGTCGTGAGCACTCTAGTGCAGGGGTTCTCACAACAAAATTTTTGGTGGCCTCAGAGTCCAGCCACCAACTCTTGCTGGTGGCTCCTCTGACAAACCCATCTCTCTGTCCCTGCCTCCCAAGGCCCTTCATCGAGAGCCCTCCCCAGGGAAGGTGGGTCAGGGACTCACTGGCCACCTATGGAGTCCCAGGCTCCACGTGCCCTGGCCAGCGAACACTGCAGCCGCCTCCACTGACAAGATCTGCCTCCGGTGCCAAGCATATTGGCCCCACTCGTCTCCAAGGAGGCTGCACCATGCAGGGTGCTGATCCCTGCTGGCGGTGCCAGTGTAAACACCAAGGCAGCACATCTCACTGCCCTTGGTAACAGCTATTCAGGAGCAACAGCTGGGCACTGCAGGGAGGGGCTGCTGCTTTGCTCCCCACTCCCAGTCCCTGCCCCTGCTTTAGAAGCTGTCATGGCTGCAAAAAAATCCGCTAGTGGCCACATGCAGCCACGGTGGCCGCATTTTAGAAACGCTGCTCTAGGCAGTAGCGTGTGCTAGAGTTTTTTCAGCAGCTCCGCTCTCATTGTGGACTGCAGTGTACACAACCAAATGGGAGATGGCAGCCATGAGACATTACAGCCAGGATCTTAATCAGGCAAACCAATGTCGTATGCCAATAGGTTGGGAGCCACTGGTATTGAATGATCATTTGAGTTGGAAACTGTAATTAATAGTGCACACAGGAAAATTGTGAAGAGTTTTTGTTAATCAGAATAAGAATGGCTGGTCTTTAAAATTTTGTCATTAGGTTAATACAAGAGCTAGTAAGTCAGGAATCTGCTATTTTGTCAAAGCCAAAATGGTTTTGTGGAGACATATCCGTTTTGATGAAGCTTTAGAGAGAGACGGGCAATCTCTATAGCTCAGTGGTTCTGGCACGGTCTGGGATGCGGAAGACCCTGCTGTGCCTGATTCAGAGCTGTTTTTCACCCCAGGGCTGGTCTACACTGAAAATTTACATCAGCATTGCTACGTCTCTCAGGTGTGTGAAAAAATCCATGCCCTTGAGGGATGTAGCTATGCTGATCTAACTCCCAGTATAGACCCTACCCCTACCCCAACCCCTACCCCTAGGTCAATAGAAGAATTCTTCTGTCCACCTATCTACTGCCTCTTGGGGAGGTGGATTAATTACAGCGATGGGAGAAGCCCTCCCGTCACGAGTGAGTGCCTCCACTGAAGGGCAAGAGCGGCGTAGCATTTTAAGTGTACACAAAGCCTGATCACTCTGAACTTGCTCCAGTGCGGAGTGAAAGCAAACTTTGTAATCTTGAAAGTTGCCGCAAAATAAAATTGTCATCATCCTCCGGTCGGCTCTAGTTATAACTGGCAAAGGCAATAAAATGAAATCCTTTTTCATGCAATGTAACTGAACTGTGGAACTCCTTTGGCACAGGATGTCATTGAGGCCAAAAACTTGGCAAGAGTTAAAAAGCTAAATATAACTAATACAAACAGATTTTGGAAGAGACATTAAATCTAAGACATGGGATTTTAAACTAATTTAACCAGGGATTAGGAGGAGACCTAATGTGGGGAGCACATCTTCCCATACCTGCGTAAGGCTACTCGCACTTCCGCTGCAGCAGCTGGGACTGGCCACTCTGAGACAGGACACTGGACTAGATGGACCACAGCTCTGATCCAGGATAGCAATTCCTGTGTTTCTAAACCAATCAAATAGCATTTCTATCTCAGACAACACTCTGGTCTCAAGGAAAAATACAACCCATGCTAACTCAGTGTGATATAGTGTAAATTGTGGAGAACTAATCAGTTGTTACATTTTGTTTTCCTGTTAGTGTCTAAAAGAAGACGTGCAGCGGCAGCAAGAGCGAGAGAAGGAGCTCCAGCAGAGATTCGCAGACTTTATGCTGGATAAGGAGACTTTTCAATCAAAATATTGAAGCACAAAATTACTTGGTGGTTCGATGTCACATTTTTCAAATGCACGGATACTTCTCCTGCATCTTGCCATCCATGTGTCAGAAATCAAGCATAGGTAAATTTGCAACTCTTTGCATCTTGTGTTTTTTGTAAATGGACTGTCATTGTACCAAATGTTCTAGGTGTGAACGGCTTGGTTCAGTATTGGAGATTTGGATTTAAACATCCAGGACTTTGATATTAAAAGAAGAAATCACACTGGGATTTTTTTAGCCATGTTGTTTGCTAGGGTTATTGCTGATTCATGCTCCTAGTGTCTTACCGTTCTTAAGATCTACCAAACATATACCTGCAGTATATGTGCTTGTGAATAATGTCTCTTGAATAAACCTGGAATGTAAAGAAATATATAAAAAGAAATGTTTGTCTCTCACTTGGAATGGAATCTTGAGAAAAAGAAAAGAAAAGGAAATATCTGTTTCATGCTAATGAGAGAGCCTTTCTTTTACTTTACTGTCAAACAATTAAGAGCTATGTTATCGGTAAGGACATATGTGTAGTATAAGTAGGGGACATATACATAGGATTGGAAGGGACCTCCTGGGTTATCCAGTCCAGTTCCCTGCTATTGCAGGCAAGCCAGCTAAAACTAAAGACTCCCAATTATTTTATGCATCTGTCACTCAATGCTCTTTTTTAACATCTGGATATCCAGTGGTCATATGGATACATAAAAGGATTGAAGAAATAAGGTTAGCTTTACCTTTCCCACGGAGGAATAGGGTGTTTTTTTTCAAAAGCACTCAGCATTAGCCTAGCTGCTCCCATCAACACCAATGGGAATTTTACCTCTGAATTCAGGGGGAACGGAATTAGGCCAGCTCTGAGCACTTCTGAAATTCCTACTGTAATAGTATATCTCCTCTTGGTTTAGCTGACAATTAATTTATTGGATGAGATCCTAACCCACATTTTGGCCCCATAAACTGGGTGAAAGGGCCAGAGTAGCATAAAGGGGTACTAAAAGCACTCGATCCAGCTAGGGAAGAACCTGAGGAAGGCAGCCACAGGCTGCTTTGTAAGGCCCCCTCACAAGCTATAGATTGCATGTTGAGGGCAGGAGGGTATAACTGGGCCGTGGTCACAGCACACAGTGCTATGGAGATCATGGACAGGACTACTGAAACCGCCTTAGCCCTCCTCCTCCTGGGCTGCGAGTTTTGTACTGCGCCTCTTAGACGCTCAGCACAGAATCGCACCCTCTGTTTTTGCGCTACTAACCGTCTGACCTTAACACTCTCCCTATAAATCATAAGGGTGGGACTTGTGTTCCTAACACACCAAGCAACTTCTCAGAATCCCATCCCAAATCTTTTTCTCTTTGTTGTTCTGGCTAATCTGAGACGATGAAGATTTGGGTTTTACTATTACGTATATGCCCGTGGGTTTTTTAGTGTTACTTTCATATTGTTTTCTAACATTTTTTAACTACATCCCTTGTTCCTTTTCCCTTTTTTTTTCTGCTTCAGGTAATCTCATCAAAAAAAGCTATCCGATTAGACAGAACCTATTTTCCATAAACCCACGTTGATTGGCATTAATTATATTATCCTCCTTTAATTCTTTATTAATCGAATTCCTGTAAAAGGTGCTCCATCATCTCACCTGAGATCTGTATCCGAGTGAGAGGCCTGTAATTACTCAGGTCCTCGTCTTTACCCTTTTTAACTATTTGCACAGCATTACCTTTCTTCCAACTTCTGGAACTTCCCTGGTGTTCCAAGACTTATTGAACATCAACATTAACAGTCCAGGGAGCCCCTCAGCCAGTTCTTTTAAAAGTCTTGGATGCAAGTTATCTATACCTGCTGATTTAAAAAAAATTGTTTGCTCTTTTGTTCATGTACTCCACAAACAACTGACTTTTTAAATTTAATTGATAGCACTGAAAAGCCCCATTAGACTGCTGTGTGATCATGCAGGTTCTCTGTGCTAATGTGTATATAGTAGAATTTCAGAATTACAAACACCTCGGGAATGGAGGTTGTTCATAACACTGAAATGTTTGTAACTCTGAACAAAACGTTAGGGTTGTTCTTTCAAAAGTTTACAACTGAACATTGACTTAATACAGCTTTGAAACTTTACTATGCAGAAGAAAAATGCTGCTTTTAACCATCTTAATTTAAATGAAACGAGCACAGAAACAGTTTCCGAACCTTGTCAAATCTTTCTTTAAACTTTCCCTTAATGTTTTTAGTCATTTACATTTAACATAGTGCTGTACTGTATGTGCTTTTTTGTTTTGTTTTGTCTCTGCTGCTGCCTGTGATTGCCTCCTTCCGTTTCCCGATGAGGTATGTGGTTGACTGGTCAGTTCATAACTCGGAGGTTCTACTGTAATTTTAAATCCTACATTTACTTGATTACAGCATGCCCATTACATTGCAGCCCTTATGGGAAGAACCTTGGAGGGCAGCATGAAGATCTTAGGTGTGCAGATTTCTGTTTAAAGCATCAGCAGTGGCCATCATTTTCACTGCTGGATTGGGCAATTTGGAAAAGCATCAGTAGTCCGTATCTGACTCCACTGATTATTGATGAGAGGATTAGCAGCCCTTCAAAATCTTTCTTTCTTCAATAACAGATTCATTAGAGTGGGGATCTCATCATAAGTATTAACACAGGTCAAATTATTTTCTTTACTTTTGTGTGTGTGTGTTTTGTTTTTAACTGCATCAAAGAAAGTGTCTTTAAAGAATAAAGAAAATAATGATCAGTCTTGCATTTTGGTTATTTTAACCTTGGTGTGTATATATAAAAGGAAAATCTTGTAATGCGTATCGTGTGTTATACAGCAGTTCTTGTGGTTGTATAGTAGCTGGAGATTTTAACAAAACCCCTTTTAGGTTTACCACAACCACAGTTGGGATTCTTCCCTTTCTTGTTGAGGAAAGCAACAGAGTCTTTGAGGTTTCCTGCATTTCTTCTTGACAGTTCCATGCCAAGTAGGTACTCAAACCTTCTGCCTCTGACCGTATGCTCTGTGATGGCAAGTTAAAGGACAGAGTCATCATGAAAAGTCACATTTCTCTCTGAAATGTGTGTACCTGCTGTAGTTATTCATATCTGAGGTTATTGCATTTGAAAGAAGTTTGCAGAAATTTTATTCGGTTTTCTCAGTTGTTTGCTTCCTGCCTTGACAGCACTTTGTGTATAGTCAGTTTCACTGTTTTCCCTGTCTTTTGGGCCCAGATCCACAAAAGGGCTTGGGTGTCGCACCACTGCGTGTCATGGCACCTAATTTTTGAGGTGCCTAGAAAATCACAGGAACACGACTGTGATCCCAACAAGCCTGAGATAGGTGTCTAGGCACTGGACGGGGAGAGCTAGGTGCCTTAGACTGTGGTCCACAAAGCCACCACTCTAGGCAGGGGGCTGCTTAAGCTAGCCGTTAGGAGACACTGCCCAGAGGGATGTGTGCTAAGCCCCACATCTCTCTTGGAATCATAGAACCACAGGGTTAGATGGGACCACAAGGGTCATGTAGTCTAACCTGCTGCCAAGATGCAGGTTTTGTTGTTTCTAAACCATCCAAGACTGATGGCCATCCAGCCTCTTTTTAAATCTTCCGGTAAAGGAGATTCCATGACTTCTCTAGGCAGTTTGTTCCATTGTCCTACTTTTCTTACAGTTAGGAAGCATTTTCTGAGATTTAATGTAAAAATGCTATTTTGTAGTTTGAATCTGTTGCCTCTTGTCCTGCCCTCTGTGACGAGAGAGAACAACCTTTCTCCACCTTTTCTGTGGCAGCCTTTCAAGTATTTGAAGACTGCTATAAGGTTCCCCCTTAATGTCTTTTCCAAAATAAACATACTCAGTTCCTTCAGTCTTTGCTCATATGGCTTGCATTCCATCCCTTTGTTCATCTTTGTCACTCGCCGCTGGATTTATTCCATTCTCTCTACATCCTTTCTATACATTGGTGACCAGAACTGGACACAGTGCTCCAGCTGAGCCCTAACCAGTGCTGAGTGGAGTGGTACTATCACCTCCTGTGACTTGCATACTATGACCCGTTAACGCAACCTAAAATTGCATTTCCTTTTTGTGTGGGTGTGTGCAACAGCATCGCAGTGTTGACTCATGTTGAGGTTCCCAGATCTCGCCCACAATTCCCAGATCTCTTTCAGAAGTGCTGCTGCCAAGCCAGTTATCCTTCAGTCTGTATTTGTGCATTTGGTTTTTCTTCCCTAAGTTAGCACCTTACATTTGTCTTTATTGAATTTCATTTTGTTGTCTATAGCCCACTTCTCCAGTTTATCAAGATCCCTCTGAATTTTAGCTCTATTCTTCAAAGTGTTTGCAACCCCCTGTGGCTTTGTATCACCTGATAATTTGATCAGTATGCTTTTATTCCTATATCCAGGTCATTAATAAAGATGTTAAATAACACCATATCCAGAGCAGATCCCTGCAGAACCCCACTAGAGACCTCCCTGCGATCTGACATTCCATTAATAGTTACTCTTTGAGGTTGTTTAACCATTTATATATCTACTTAATTGTAGTTCTGCCAAGCCCGCATTTATCCAGCTTACTTATCAGAATGTCATGTGGGACTGTGTTAAAAGCCTTGCTGAAATATGATGTCGACCGCATTCCCTACCCACCAAACCAGTTACCCTGTCAAAGAAGGAAATCAAGCTGGTTTGGCATGATTTGATTTTAGTAAATCCATGCTGGCTGCTAGTGATCATAGAATCATAGAACTGGAAGGGACCTCGAGAGGTCATCTAGTCCTTTCCCCTGCACTCAAGGCAGGACTAAATATTATCTAGACCATCCCTGACAGGTGTTTTGTCCAACCTGCTTTTAAAAATCCCCAATGATAAAGATTCCACCACCTCCCTACGCAATTTATTCCAGTGCTTAACCACTTTGACAGTTAGGAAGTTTTTCCTAATGTTCAACCTAAACCGCCCTGGCTGCAATTTAAGCCCTTTGCTTCTTATCCTATCCTCAGAGGTTAAGAACAATTTTTCTCCCTCCTCCTTGTAACAACCTTTTATGTACTTGAAAACTGTTATCATGTCCCCCTCTCAATCTTCTCTTCTCCAGACTAAACAAACCCAATGTTTTCAATCTTCCCTCATAGGTCATGTTTTCTAGACCTTTAATCATTTTTTTTGCTCTTCTCTGGACTTTCTCCAGTTGGTCCACATCTTTCCTGAAATGTGGTGCCCAGAATTGGACACAATACTCAGCTGAGGCCTAATCAGCGCAAAGTAAAGCAGAAGAATTACTTCTTGTGCCTTCCTTACAATACTCCTGCTAATACATCCCAGAATGATGTTTGCTTTTTTTGCAATAGCGTTACACTGTTGACTCCTATTTAGCCTGTGATCCATTATGACCCCCGGATCCTTTTCCGCAGTACTCCTTCCTAGGCTGTCATTTCCCATTTTGTATGTGTGCAACTGATTGTTCCTTCCTAAGTGGAATACTTTGCATTTGTCCTTATTGCATTTCATCCTGCTTACTTCAGACCATTTCTCCAGTTTGTCCAGATCACCCCTTGAACTCCCTCCTTTTGAGGGGCAGAAGGGATTTGACCAGGGATCTGTCCCCTCTCTGGTGAATGTTCCAACCACTAAGCTAATTAAACAATTTAATTGGGTCAGTGAAATTAAAGTGGAACAACTTCAACAGGAGAGAGTGAGGGAGCCCCATATCATAATATTCAATTGTGTAGTGATTTTCTTTTCATCCCTTGGAATCAGGCTTGGTATTTTTGTACAGGATCAGTCCTCAGCTGTGGCCTACTCCAGAGCCCATTGAAGTTTGTTGAGAGACTGCCATTCACTTCATTGGGCTTTGGATCAGGCACCTGGTGAAGTTAATGGTGAACTGTGGTGATTTACACCAGCTGAGGATCAGGATCCTGCAGATGACCACATTAAACATGCTCAGAAACAAGACAACGGGGCAGGTTTTCCAAGGCACAAAGGGTAGTTAGGTTGCCACTGAAAGTCAAAAGGCATCAAGTCATAGAACAGCCGGGTTGGAAGGGACCTCAGGAGGTCATCTAATCCAACCCCCTGCTCAAAGCAGGACCAATCCCCAACTTTTGCCCCAGATCCCTAAATGGCCCCCTCAAGGATTGAACTTACAACCCTGGGTTTAGCAGGCTAATGCTCAAACCACTGAGCTATCCATCGTCCCCTCAGTCCTTCATATTCTATGAAGCAAGTCCCTAACTCCCATCGGTGCCTGGGCAAATCTATCTTCTCCACAGTGAACATTGCATTTAGCCACACAGTTTCCATCATTTTGACAAGTTACAAGTTATTAGCCAGTCTAGCAGCTGTAAGTGAAGTCTAGAACATGCAGGCCAAAATTTGGTTGGTACCATAATCAATATTTCGTCACCAATTTGGCTGGATGGTGGCTGTTGAGGGAGTTCAGCACCTTTGAAAATGTGGCCACTTTTCAAAGGTGCCTTAAAATGTGGCCTAAACATGGATTTTTATGCTTTATATTTCTTTGTCTACAAATCCTACAGTAATAACTTACTCTAGTGTGCAAATGTTGGCTTGATTTTTACTCCCCAAGACAGCACAGTTGCCGGGCAGGATGGCATTATTAAGGCCTGGACTTACTCTCCCTCACACTCATCTCCAAAATCCAATGCTTGGAGTTATCCCCCATGCTGTGAGTTCAAAGCAGCACCTGTATAGCAAGTAGGATTTAAAAGTGCAGTATCAAATAGCATTTTCCCCATTGTCTTAGTTTTGTGAAATGCTGGCTGAAAAATAGCCAGGTATTAATTCTAAAAGCAAAAGCAGTTCATGGTCCCTGTAAATGATTCCAGATTCCCCCCTTCTATCATTCTAATGCTGTGACTTTCAAAGCTATTTATTAGCAACTTTGGGACTGGTCCTGTTCTCAGTGAAATCAATGGCACAGCTCATATGGACTGTATGGAGAGCATAAGATCCTGGTTTAAGAAAGCACTGAAGCATGTGCTTAATTTTAAGCATGAACAAATCAGTCCCTCTTCAGCAAAGTCCTGATTCAGTAACGCACTGAAGCACTGCTTAAGTCCCTTGAAGTTGATGGGACAACTCCATGTGTTTAAAGTTAAGCATGTGCTTAAGTGCTTTGCTGAACGGAGTCCTTAGTGACTTGAAAATATTTAACAAAAGATGAGTAGCGGTGCATAGCACAGTCACGTCACACTAAAGCCGAGGTAGCCTTTCCTCCAGGCCCATATTCTTACAATTAATTTTGTGGATGGCTCATAATACTTACCAGTGCCTCATCCATGATAGTAAAATGCATAACAGGTGTGAGAAATGATCACTTGACTCTCGAGCTTCATATTTGAACTCAAGGTTGCTTTTTGTCTTCCTTTCTTTCCTTTGTTTGGCTCAGGATTTGTTAGGGGCTGTCGTTGGGCCAGGGTTGGACTTCTCAAGAAATCTCCCTTTCAAGTTAAAGTCAAAGGTTTTCCACATCTCGGATTAGATGGGACTTGGCTCATTAGATCATTTTAACGTTTACAGGTTGTAACAGTGGTTCTGATGTATTCAAATTACTTAAAGATTTCTCAAAGGAAACTCAAGTACCTCTTTTAAGATCATTTATGTACATGGATAGCATTTATGAATTGTGATGCATGGAAATGGAGACTATATTTCTTATTTAGTCAGATCATATGTCAGATCCCTTGCCAAGTATATGCTACAGGTGAATGTTGCTTGGGATCGGACAAAA